GAGCCGCGCCGCGAACCGAAGCCCTGGGGGCAGCTCTGGGCCGGGGGGCGGGGGGTGCGCATGGTAGAGAAGTGGAGGACCTCGAGCTGGGAGGACCACCCTACCCCTCCCAGGGACCCGCGGAGCCTCGGGGTTTCCCTCGGGTGCGAGGTATCAGACCCTGCGCGTTCCCCGGGGGCCCCAACCTCCGGACTCAGCCGTTCACCTTTAGGGGTCGCCCTGGTATCCAATGGCTGTCCCACCACGTTCAGCGCCTGGCACAGTGATGGGTAGGAACCCCTAGTCGCCCTTCTGCCATAATATTCCTGACTCAGAGATCCGGTGTCTGAACAGCTGGAGGGCGAGGGGATTGCGGGGATCGGAGAAGTCGGTGAAGGAAACCATGAAAGGGTTGGTCCTCGTGGTTTCCTAGTCTAGGACACATTGCTCTGCCTAGAAACTGGAACCCCGAGAGCCCTGCCGGCTGAGGGCGTTTGGTGGTGAAGCAGCGGAGGTGAAGCGGGTTGTCCTGGACTCCTCTACCTATTCTATCTTCAGCATCTCGTCTGCGTGTTGCTAGAATAAAAACTAAATCGTCCTAGAACCTCTAAGTCACCTGTCCCGTCGGTCCAAGTGGCCGGTGTAACAGCTGGAAAAAGAGTCCAGCCACAGGACCTTCGCTAGCTTCTACTAAACGCTGTACTTGTGGAGACCTGGAGGCTAGGGGGCAGGCGGAGAATCAGGGTTCCGAATTTCCTCAGTGGCACGTTTTACCGCCCCCCCCCCCCTGCCCTCTCTAGCCCTCTGCTCTAGTCAAAGAGCTCCTATATTTGCAAAAGGTTTTTTCACTTCAAAGGACCATTTTCTTGCATCAAAAACTTGCAGGAAAATATGCCATTTTTCTTTACCAGCAAAACAAAATTCTAGGTTTGCAGTTGCATTCTTTTTCCAGAGAGGATGTTTATAAAGTGCAGGTCTACAGAGCATGTCTTGGCTGAAATAAGGCCCTCGACATACATACTGGCTTGGCAGGAGTGGTTGATGTTGTTTTGCAAACACCAATTTATTAACACTCACAACATTGTAGCTGGATAAAATGAATGGAAAATGTTTTCAGAGAGACGTTGGTTGGATTAAGGGGGAGTAGAGGTCAGGAAACTCATCCAGGTTACATAACCAGTTCAAGACAAAATTATGATGAGGGGAAAATCTTTATTTTAATAAACAAATTCAACATTACCCCAAAGGGTTAAGTTGCTTCCATTTAATTAATGCAACTCTTACCTATTTTTCACTTAATACAAAATAGACTTTGTATGGTATACAGCTACCTTCTTGCAGCTAGTGAGAGTGTAAAGTGGACAAATATTTGCAGAAGCTATTACAACTGCATACAGCTACCCTAGCCATTCCCTTCTAGGTGTGCCCCCGACAGAAATGAGGGCGTGCTTACCAAAGGATATGCGTGAGAATGCTCCCAGCAGCATGTTTGTAACAGCCAGAGACTGGAAGCCGCTCAGATGTCCATCATTCACAAATGGGGAAACTGAGACCCAGACTCAGTTTGGCATAGTCACAGAATGGAACACCACAGCACAACGAGAACACAGGAGCCACTCCATGCGGAATATAGATGGACCTCACAAGTAATATTGAGCGACAGAAATCACACACAACAGCGTATACACTATGCAATCTTTTTAATGAATAGTATAAAACAGACAAAACTAATCCTTCAAGTTAGAGGTCACCATGGTGGCTGGTCATTGCAGGGATTGGTGGTATCTCCCTACATACTGGAGGAGAAAAAGTGTTTTGGGGGTGCAGGCAATGTCCTGTCTCTTGATTTGGATGTTACTTACCTGGGTCTATTGTGCTTGTAAAAATTCATTGAGCTGCTCACCTGTGATATGTGCTCTGTTTGTTTTACTTTCTTTTAAAAAGAATAAAATTGGGCCTCCCTGGTGACACAGGGGTTAAAGTCTCAGCCCTATCAAGCTATTGCCAGCCCCTGCCTTGTGAGAGTTCGAGCCACGGCCAGGGAATGACCCACAGGGCACAGCAGACCTCTCCTGTCTCGCCTGCTGCTCCCCTCAGCAGTGGATTTCAGTAGGTCTACCTGTTCTGCTCCCCACTCTCTCTGGTGAATCCTCTCCCACCCCATACTTCTGGCCTACATCCCAGTTCTTACATGCATAAATTAATAAAAATAGATCTTAAAAAATAAATAAAAGAACAGAATTATGTATAGTTCATATTAAAATTTGCTTAAATAGTTGAAGTAAAGGCAGAATAAATATGTTTTCCCTTAAATAATTTTGTTTAAAAAAAATCACTGTAAGGCAAAAGCAAGACATTTTTATGCTAAAATTAATGTTTTGATGCAGTTCTAGTCAAACTTTTTTTTTTTTGACACACTCCCAGATGAACAGAACTGTGCCTTCCAGACAAACAAAAGCAGAAAGAGGCTGGGATTGAGGGGCCCAGGCTTCCAGTCTTGGGGCTCTCTGAAGACAGAGCCCTGGTCACACACCTCCTACACAGACACTATCTGGTGATGTTAAGAAAAGTCATGGGTGCTCAGAATTTGAGGGTAAACTTTTTCCATAGCCTTTGGGCTGATCTCCTGGCAACTGGTGAGTGGCTGCTTTGGGCGTATTTGACAGGGGATCAGGTGTGATCCCCAGATGTTGGCAGGTTGGGAAACATGGCAGAGACTGAGTAGGGCAGAAGTGCTCCCCTCCCCAGTCGCACTGGGGGCCCCATGGCTGGTTCTCAGCAAAAAGCCGAAGCAGAGGTCCAGCTCTCTTAGAACTTCAAGTGCAACTTGTGGCCCAATAGTCTAAAAACATACTATGAAGTGGTCTCCAACAGATTCATTATTTCCAAGGGAAAGGAGTACAAAGAGAACATGGAACTTGGGTGCAAGTCAAGACAGCGAGATGCAGAACTAGGATGATGGCGATAGAGACAATGATGATGACAACGACAATAATTCATATAATGTCCTGTGCCATGCCGGTTGTGTTAGATTTTACATAGTTTGTACTGTTACTAAAGCCTTGTGGCAACCCTTCAAAGCTTGTTCAGCTGAGGATCTGAGAGGTATGAGAAGGTTAAGTAGCTTCTCCAAGGTCCATAGCTAGTGAGTGTACAGCCAGGTCTGGAATCAGCCAGAGCATGGATTCAAGTTCCTGCTGCCTTGACACCTGGTTATGAAGGGGGGGGGGGGACCAGAAAGAGAAGCAGGAAAGAAGAGCTTTGCCACTAATTAATAGGCATAGTCACTTTGACTTCACTGAGTCTGGGTCTCAGTTTCCCCATTTGTAAATATGTAAACTAAGTAGTGTCCAGGGTTACTTTGGGGTGTTTTGGTTCCCACATAGTCTTCATTAACCCTCCAACCTCCAACATCCCAAACGAAAGTACCTCACAAGCAATATACTATACAAAATAAGAAAAGCTCCCTAGCTAATATGGCCCGTGCTTACCACACAATTATAACCAGATTACCACAACTGAATTTCTCACAGAAATTCTAGAGCTACCATTGCTCAGAAGTCCTTTCTGGTGTAAGTCATTCATTCACTCAACAAACATTTCTAACGCCTATAGTATCAATGAGACTAGCCTAAATTATGCTAGAGTAACACACATGGCTCAAAATCTCCATGGTTAATGCAAGATGACTATCTCATACCCCAGTGTGCTCAGCACAGGTTAGGCTAGATGCTGGGGCTCTCTTTACTACCATCACTCACGGACCCAGTTTAACTGAGTAATCATCATCTTAAATGGTGTTGGTTGCTGAGTTAGAAGGAAGAGAGCTCTGGACCTGAAGCTTTTAAATGCTCCAGCCCAAAAGTGATACACAGAACTTCTGCTCCCAGCTCGTCGGCTGGAACTGGTCTTAGAATTGCACCCAGGCACAGAGGTCAGGAAATGCAACACTTCAGGACCCAGGAAGTGAATACTTGATGACCAGCACTAAGACTGCACCCACTATGTGCCAGGCCCTGAACAGATTAAAATGGGCAAGAGGTGGGCCCAGCCCTCCGGGCGCAAGCAATCAAAGGCAGAGCTGTCCCTGGCAAAGCCGCTCCAGTCCCTGGGGTGTAGGCTTGGTGGCTCTAGGTGAGAAACCAATCACTGCCAATGTGAGTGAAGTCACCGTGTGATACAGCAAATTTTTTCTCCAGAACATTGTGCTAGTTGAAATGGTGGTGAACCTATTGCACAACGAAGGAGATAAATAAATCATACACTCTCATGGGAAGCAAAAAGGCTCTCTTGTGAAAATACTGAATGAAGACAGTTGGACATGTTGTCATTCTGTTTGATGAAAGTTACAAATGACAGTTTAATAAAAATGAAACCAGACTTTGGCCTGGACCAAGATGAGGATGGTGGGGCCAGCCCTTTCTGAGAATGTGTTCCAATTTGGGAGGAACTGAACGTGGCCCCGTGCCAACACAAATAAGCCGAGGATCCAGAGGAAACTCAGTGCATCCCAGTAGGTCTATGTCCTGCCATTAGTATGTACAACTGCCATCCCCTGCCTAGGACACCGTAGCCCAGGGTAGAGCTGGGGAGAGGGGATGAGCATGTTAGGCTCTTCTGTCGTGATCCAGGTGACCACTCCAGGCACCAGGCCACACTCAGCTCAGCTCAATCCTAACTGAAGGCCTCTGAACAGTGTTGGCCCTTATTGTTTCTTGAAGTTACCCACAGAATTC